AGAAGACTGTAACTCTTCCTAAGGACCCTAAAGTCAAGGACCCTGTTCATTTACACAGCCTTTCTAGAAGAAAGATGATTTTCTCTGCTGTCTAGCTTCCTATTGCAAACACAAGAGTAGGTTCTTACTTAATCCCACAGGAAATATGCATGTCCACTACTCTGCCTGACCCAGACAAACAAAGTCTCCTTGTCAGCAGTAACAAACTACCTCTCCTGCACAAAACTTACAACCCTAGTTACAATTACCATACAACTCTACCTTATTAAAAGTTTTAGCTAACCCCTTTAAAACACCTCCTAAGAGTTAGTTAAATGAAGGAACAGATTTTAGTAGCTTCCCATAAATGCCACATTGCTGCAGACACCTTTTTCATGGAGTGTGGTGCTATATAATATATCTGCATATAGTTTTTAAATTTATTTTCTAAGTCTGCAATGGTGCAGACATCTGATACTGCCTGTTAAGTTGATGGACTATGCCCAAACTGCTGCAGAACTTAATTTAAAAGACTTACATCCTGCAGATACATAGGCAGGGGATTTTTTACATCTTTTACATCTGCCTCACTCATTACTGTTTTAAACATCTTAAGTCCCCAGTACCATGTCTACTTAATAGATTTAGTTACCATGTATTATTACTCAAAACCAGTATCCTAGTCTGTAAAATGTGCCAAAAGTCCAGTTTTCCAATATAACCAAGTCCCAAGACAAAATTCAAACCAAAGCAATGGACCCCTTTACAGGCAGTCCGGATCCCCCTACATAGGCAGTCCATGACCCACAAAGTGACCTTCAAATTATCCACAAACCACAAGTGGGCTTCCAAGTCAAACAAATTGTCTATCTTCAGGCATTTTTCTATTTCTCTGATGTGGTCAGTCTAACCCGAGACCAACATACCCAGCACTTCTACCACCAGGCAGTGTACACACCTTCAGATAGACAGACAAATAAACACACAGACAAGCCATACTATACAGATAACATAAAATGAATCAATATCCGCAACATAGAACCTTATTGACCCCCACACACATTCTCCACCAAAAATGTTACACAAATTGCCAACTGCTCAAGTCACAAGTGAGACCTCATAAAGGGGCATAAGGCAAAATGCCGCATTTATTGATTACATGAATTAGACATAGAGGTTTAGACACACCACTCATATAGACACACACAAATCATCATGCACAAAACTTACATACAGGTACACATGAACACAAAACAAACATTCCATTTAGACATTATAGTTACCAGCAGCAGTTGTTCAATAATAGCACTGGGTGGCTGGCCCCAACCTTATTGAGAGAAGATGCAGATAGCAGGTAGGGTGGTTATTATGAGAGAAAGATCCTGTAGATAACAGCTTGGAGTGGGGTGAAACAGACATGTCTGTGCTCCAGTGAAACCACAGTTGAGAGAGAGACTCACCCAACTTGGCATTTTTGAAGTCTTCTTTTATAGGGATTGGCATCCTTTGATTCAGTGCTTTGGGGGTTTTCAATACCCAGCTTCTGCTTTTGTGGTTGTTCTTCTTTTGTCTTTAGCTTATCTCAGCCTTGGAGTCTTCTTGCTGCCCACCCGGCAGGATGGGTGCATTTCTTCTCCTTGTTATCTTCTTTGTGCCCTAAGCCTGAAAGGGATTCTTCAGCCATTCATTGATTAGTTTACTGACTGGTAACTTACATTTGGCGCCTCGTTGCTTACTTAAACAGTTAAATCTTCTTCCATCTTTATGACATTCTCTCACCATTCACCCTTTTACACACACTTATACATAAAGGCTATGCAGAGTTTATTCACATATGTCAAACAGAAGGATACAAAATGGAGTTTTTAAGTTGCTTACAGGAGAAGACTAACATGGTTACATTTCACTATTATTACACTCTATGTTAACATCAGCTATGTTAGTTCAATTCCTTCTACATGAGGACCACCAAAATCTGGGAGATGGTACCCCACTCAGCTCTGTTAAGGGAGCCAATGATCCCAATCTCCCCAACCAAGGCCATCTCATGGATGGCCTTCTGTTGCTCCACCAGCCTTCGAGCATTATATATGTGGAGTTCCACTGAGTCTCCACATCCTGCATGATTTTATGCTGTGGGATGCTCAGCTCTGCCTGTTTCTCCAACAGCATCTTGCCCCACTTGATGCTGTGATGGAAGTAGCCCACCACCTTCCTGTGTTTTGAAATTAGCTGTCTTGTAGCAGTACTGGTGGTGGTGCCATCACCAGCAGCCCTGTCCCCCTCCAAGGCATCCCTGACTATGAGGTGCAGCCTGTGTGCCACACAGCAGATGCCAACAAAGTTGGCATCATGGACAGCCTTGACCATATTGGCCCCATTGTCGGTGACCATGAAGCCATGGGTGAGCTTGGCTTGTCCAATGAGCCACCCCTGCACCATGCTGTTCATGGCCACCATGATCTCCCTTGCCGGGTGGGACTCATCCAGCACCTTGGCTTGGAGGAGAGGCCACCAATGGCCTGACAGATTGCACCAGTGCCCTGTGAGGGAGAGGTAAGTGTGATTGCCACCCTGGCTGCACCAGATGTCTGAGGTGAAGTGCAAGGTTACCTGTGCCCCTGCCTTGTGCAGCTCCTCCCTCAAGTACTCCCTGCATGCCTCATACAGAGAGGACACCACCGTCCTGCTAAAGGTGGTGCATGCGGGCACTTGGTAAGATGGGGCCACAAGCATCATGAGCCACCTGAACCCTGGCCACTCAACTAGGGAGAAGAACTGGCTATGCTCTGGGTGATCTTGCTCGCCTTTGCAACTCACCCCACTTTCTGTCCACCTTTCCCCCACTGTTCCTTGGGAGTCCTGCCTCTGCTTTGGGGGGACAAGGGCTTTGGAGTGAGTGGGTGACTTCCCTTTGGGCATGCTAGCACTGGTGCCAGGTTGAGCAGGAAGAAGGGCAAGGGGGTGCTGCCTCCTGAGATGTAGCAGCATCGCTGTGCTGGTGAAGTGTTTCACCCACTTGCCCCGGCTGATCTGCCTTCAACAGTGCTAGCAGAAAGCAAACCTGGGATCACTTGCCAGCTCAAAATTCTCCCACACTAAACTACTCAACCACTTCTGTGTTGAGGGTGGGGATGCTGCCTTATCCGCCGCCTCAGCAGGCTGAGGCACAACAGCAGGAGGAGCTGCCTCAGCTGACCCACTTGCCTGAGCCTCCACAACTTCAACCTCCTCTGAGATGCTGCTTTCCAAAGAAGGAGACCTGGGTCTAGGGGAACTTTGAGGGGTGTGGAGCACAAACTCTGATTCCCCCTCAATCTCCAGAATTGCTTGAGCCAGGGTGCTCAGCTCCCCTGGTTCCAGCTCCAGCTCCTCCTCTGGTAGTAGGAGGCTCACGCTGGGAGATGGAATTGGGGTGGAGGAGACAGTGATTCTGATGCTGGTGCCTATTTTTGGAGTTAGGGGAGGTAGTACTGGTGCAGGGATGTCAGGTACAGGTACTGCTCCCACCTCCTTGCTTACACTGGTAGCAGAAGCCTCATGGCTGCTAGGGAAGAGAATGCATCTATGTTTGGGGGTTTGGGTGAAATTGCAGCTCTAGGTCTCGCCCTACCCCCTCTCCCTCCCCTGCCAGAAGACCTGACACCTGCCTTTCTAACACGCTTCATATTAATCTTTCCTGTGCTGCAGAAGTTTTGTGTGTGTGTGTGCATGTCAATTCTTTTGTGTTGTGTGTTTTATTCTGCTGTGTTGCATGCAGACTTTGCTTTGATTATTGCATGCACTGGACTCTGCTTTGATTAATAATAACTATATATGGTGTTTTCTTCTGTGATATGCTATTAATGTGAATATGTGACTACTACTGTACTTCTTGTTCTTCTCCTGTATTGTAATGTGTACTTAAAATGATATATCTCCTCCTTCTAAGACCCTGAGTTCTGTGTTAGTCTCAATCTGAATCTCTATCTGACTTCTGTGCTGTCTTCAGTCTGTATGTAAACTAACTGTAATATTAATAACTAATAACTATATATAATCTGATTCTGAATCTCTTCTTCTATGAATATCTGACTTCTTCTATGTGTGTGAGTGTGTTTGTGGAATATGTGCTTTCCTGCACAGTGATGAATCACACTGCCAGGGAAAACAGTGAGCTTTCTTTTTAAAATATTGCAAAAAAAGAGAGAGAGAGAAAGAAAACAAATATGAATTGAAAGAAATGAATTGGATAAGTATTAAGTAGAGAGATTCTAAGCTAAACTATGCTAAGCTAAGCTATATCCTACCAATCCTTTCTAACAGCAAAAAGTAGCAGGCCACTGAGTAGGAAGCAAGCCAGTAGCCACAGTACCTTTGAGATGCTGTTGCTCAGGGAGAATGCTGTTTTATGCTGTTTCTATGTCCCTCCCCCCAGACACTGTGATTGGAAGGGCAGTCAGATAAACATCACAGTCACGGGCCAGCTACAGATGTCAGTCCTTCCCCGCCTGCTCCCCCTCCCCCCCTTCTCCCCCTCCCTCTTCCAAGTTTCTGTTTCCCCTCTGAATCTCCAAATCACAGAATCTTTTCTGAATCAATTTGGAGGCTCTGAATCAATTCAGAAAGTTTTAAGCTTCTAGCAATTCGATTCTGATTTGGAGATTTGCCTTCCGAATTAGTCCCCATCTTCTCCAAATTGAATCGCGATCTGAAGCTTTGCACAGTCCTAGACCTCAGTAAGGTTTATTTAAAATAAATCTTTCCCCATCAGACTGGCCTCATGGGGGATCCTGCCCACCATCTCCCTGAGTGAGTCCAAGTCTGCTTTTCTGAAGTTCAGGTTCCTTATTCTGTTGCTTTCCTTCCTTCTTTTCCTCAGGATCCTGAACTCAATCATCTCATGGTCACTGCTGCACAAGTTATCATCCACTATTACATTCCCCACTAATTCTTCCCTGTTTGTGAGCAGTAGGTGAAGAATGAAACACAGCCTCTCCAACACTTGCACCAGGAAGTTGTCTCCAACAGTCCCCCAAAACTTCCTGGATTGCCTGTGCACTGCAGTATCTTCCAGCAGATGTCAGGGTGATTGAAGTCCCTCATGTGAACCAGGGCCTGTGATCGGGAAATTTGCACTAGCTGTTTGAAGAAAGACTCATCTACCTCATCCTCCTGGTCTGGTGGTTTATAGCACGCATCTACCATGACATCACCCTTGTTGCTCTCCCCTCCAAGCATAAACCTTTACAGGCCTATCTCCAGTTAATAACAAGATACCTCAAACACAGAGATAATCTTAAGTAAACTAATATACTCATAGAAAATATTGTTCACAAATTAGTTTATTGTTACCTTACAATAAATGGGAATATCGGTTTCTTTTAACAATTCATCATGGACAGCACATGGTCTCAACTGGTCTTGAAATGTTGGTGACAATGCGGGCAGAATACAAAAAGGGAAATTGTCATTGTTCATAAAATAAATGGAAGAAGAATTTGATGTGAACTTAAAATACTTATAAATATATACAAGCAGGGAGATAAGTCTGTATTAGACTTGCTAAGATGTGTGTTGAGTCACTAATGTAACACAATGGCCAAAGTACAGGGGTACTGCAAACCATAAAATTAACAACATATAAAGCAGCATATATATGTACTAAGTGACAAAAAGTAACCCCAAGGGGGTTAATATTTACACATTAGTAAACATTTTTTATCTATAGTAATAGTCCTTTACTTGCTACTGGAATCCATTTCTATGGTCCTCCTTTCTTGCAACATCATTTGGTTCTATATATATCCAATTTGTGTATTCTTTTGCTTTACTATTTATATGCTTAAATGCAAGTTCTCTCTCTCCTTTATTCCAAGGAACTGACTTTTGTTATGTTCCAATATTATTTTCATGTCACTGTTCTCCACAGGATTACTTAGAGAAGACAGGAACTTCCAACAAAAATCATGCTACTTGCGAAAAGAAATGGTGAGAGGACAGAGAAGCACAGGACATCCAAATCCCTTTCTTTAATCAACATATATCAGGGTAGGTAGTGACTTTTAGGTGGCTGCAATGTGATGGGGTGGTTTTTTTTTCCTGATTAGCCAAAATGGCAGCATTATGCTCGTTTTGCTAATTATCTTTGATGTCTGGTCAACTAGATTCTATTAGCTACAAACTAGAGGTTGAAAAGGGCTTTAGTTTCTTTTTGAGAGAATTACAGATATGGCAAAGAGATCCCAAAGGGAATAACCATGGTTTATGTTGCATTATTGTTGTTTAATGCCTGGATCATGATTTTGGGTATAGCCTTGAAGATGGGGTGTGCAAAGTGAGCTTTCTAGGAGTAGGCCTAGGGAATACTGTGATTCAAACTGGCTTATTCCCGAGGTGCAGTGAGTTACTCCTGGTCTATGCTATCTGTAAATCATCACCCATCTTGCATTGGTTTAATTACTCTGACTAGTTAGAAGTATGAGGCAGAGCTGCCCTTTTTCCCCACCCATTCTCATTTTCTTCCTGCTAAAAAGCTTCCGGGCAGGAGGAATTAGGTGAGACACTCTTGTTTGGGTGCATAGCCCAAGTTAAAATACTGGCCTACATTAATAATGAAGGACAACTGCCAGAAAAGGATACCTTTGGACCTTTTTCAGCACTATGCTAGGAGCAGAGTCATAACGTTGGCTGTACATAAAGTTACCAGGGGTTTTGTCTTGCCCAGCAACACTAACTACAAACAATGAAAAAGAGCTATTGTAAGCTGCATTTTAAAAAATCCTTAAGTAATAATTGAGAGAAAGGTCAAGGGAGAGAGAATTTCCCCTCCACCTGGTAGTAAAGAGATTTATCCAGAAGGTTGGACCTGTGGATTCCAGTCTTGCTTCCAATGAACATTTCATTACTTATACAATATAGTACATCATCATCCATAGAGAATGCGGATTGTCTCACTGCTAAAATGCCATGAGGTGATATGAGTGGTACCATGAATGGATGGTGACTAATAGGAATTCCAATCATGTCAGTTAGATGACATACGTGCTTTAACCACTAAGCAAATGAGGAACTCCTGCCACTTTTATAACCATGCCTTTTCCTTTCCTTTCTTACAACTAAAACCCAAGCCTTTTCTTTTGGACTGAATTAAATTTTCACTCAATACTAAATCCATTTTTGTGGGGGAGGAAGGGGGAGATGTTTGGCAAGTGTATTATTTCAATTAATCATATGAAAAATAAATATAATCTTTAAAATGAATGAAGCATAAAAGACCCCTGATAAGACAAAGTTTGACAAAACTATTTATTACATAATACAGTCTACTGGACAGTCACTGAACAACTTGTAGAGAATGGAAATTTGTGAAGCATTTGGAAAGTGCCCAACAGAAACAAGAGAGCAACTACCCTTCAATTAACCCTGAAATAAGTTGGTATCATATGAGATCACTGTGTGGTATCCCAGAGTTGCTAACCAGTTATTTGGACCAGCTATATAAAACAGGTTTGCATCTATCCCACGATTGCAAAGGAGATGAAGTGGAGCAATTTCATTTCAAAGATTTTATTTCTCTTTGGATTCTTTAATACAGATAACTGAAAATTATCTTGATGAGTCTACTTCCTTTCTAGGGAGATCTCAAATAACCATATTTTCCATTTTAATTAAATATTTTAATGCATATTTCTCATTCATAAACTGTAAAGTCTGTCATAAGAAGAAAATTAGTCAGTAATACTAATAAACTGTTCTTGCTCTTTTAAATTAATTCCTTTTATTCCAAAACATTCAAATAATGAATATTTGTAAAAATGTCTTCATATGGACCATCAAACAACTGTGGTTAAGACACACCAGTTTCTGTGATAAAGACCACATAAGGAAGTGATACAGCTAGCATTATGTCTGGCCCCCTGTGTTTCCTCTACCCAAACAAACAGGTCGCCATTGACAGGTGGATCAACCTGAAGTGGTCTTTGCTGCAAGGTTCCAGTTCAACCTACTGAATTCATTAAAAAAAACAAAAAACTCTTTAGTTGTCTTTCTCCACACAAGAACTGAACAATGTTTAGGAAAAGCGCAGGTCCACCAATGCTTCTAGGTAGAGAAGCACAAACTTCAGAATCAAATTTAAGGTCTTTGGTAGCATGTCTTCTTTTACATTTGGACAGCACCTACCAAAACTGAAGCCTGAGACAAGTATCAAAGTAATTCAGATAAGAAATAAGAAAGCAAAACATTGTCAGGCATGAACATGTGGCATGCAGCTGGCCTCTTGCAGCTGATGAGGGCAATGTCCGTTTGTTTTTCCTCTGGCTTTCTCAGGAGACTACCACATCAGTTTAGTTTTCTTTCAGTGCTTGCATCCACTCAGTCAATTTTTATAACTCAAAGCATGGAATAAAACTGGTTTTAACTTAAATTATTTACCACAAAAAATGGCAATTTTGTTTTAGCCACCGATGGGCCATTATCTTGGGAAGCTTCTGTCAGATAACAGATGTCCAAGTTGTGTGCATGCAGTAGGTTTAAAACTCACAAATGATTAACCGATTCTCTTTACAGCTCCTGTCATTCCACTCACCATGTTCAAAGACTTCCACACAATCTTCAACGCCTCTATCATTGTTTGGTTCTCTAGGTAGCCAGTTGGAGTAAGTAATGGCTTGTCCATTTAGGTACCTGAACTGCCCCTCTGTCTGTATATCATTTATGCCAAGAAATGCTGCTTTATTGTGCATAGCAACAATTTGTTGGATGGCAGCATTTTCTGCTGAATTCCGAGGGGAAGCAAGCTGGCCCCCAGCTTTAGAACACCTTTGTTTCAGATTTTCAAAACTGCTTTCATAGCCACTGGTCATGAATACCTTTTCACCCACAATTCTGCCATTCGGGAACATTATAACAGAAAACAAAGAGATAAATCAGTGGTAGGCATCTAGCTAAGGATAACCTTGTAAAATGAAGATAGACCAGATAGTAAAAATGAATAAAACACCATTGACTTCTATCAAAGATATTTGAAAAGACTGGCTAAGGCTTTGGAATTCCCACTAGACAACTCGGCATGAAGTAGCTCTGATCTTTTTTTCTTTAGTGTGCTGCAAAGCGCATCTCTATCCAGATTAGAGGCAGCATGACTTGCTGCATAACATAACCTTAACACCATCCTCTCTCTCATTTACACTCTGAATCTTCATATCACATGAATGTCAAGGGTAAGTTTCTATTCAGCACCTCTGAGGATATTTGTGAAAGAAAACACACAGAACTGAAAGAAGAATGTAAGTCTATGTGGTCACGGCAGGACAGATCAGCCAGTGCATAAGAACTGCCATGCATACTGCTGTCCCTATTGCTTCAGAAGAGAGGATAAAGTCATTGAAAACATTATACAGCAATAATTTAGCAAAGCTGAAATTACATTAACATTCAACAGGCCCCTGTAAGTGCTCTGAGAGGGTTATGCATGCACTTGTAGCTGCAGAGCCTGAGACATCCATCTAAATCAAGCCTAAAGTATATCAGAGACACCAACTGCTGAAACTTCCTTAGCCTAATGAAGGGTTTTTGAACCTGAAAGCTTGCTTAATAACTATTCTCCAACCATTTATCAAACATTTAATTTGCATTGGATGATGTTTCCACATTTGGCTTTCATTTATTAAAGGTAGCATCTTGACTGATCTTGCTGTTATAGAGTAACATTGCCACAAAACAAGACAATACAACATACCATTCCAGGCAAACACGCCTGGATGCTATCACGCACATCCTAAAGAGCTTCCCCTAATTCCCATCCATAAAATAAATCAACGCTGGCCCATATAATTAGCAAAGGAATCCTATTCAAGGCATGATTAGTACAGGATTCTTGCTGGTGGAGTTAGTTATCTTCATGTTCATCCTGGTCTACCAATGAAAAGTGCGCCCATTTAATTAAAGATGTATTTTTAAATCACTTGGTTTATATCAGGGAAAGCCACATACAGGTGCTGTTTATTTGATTTAAATCTGGTTGACATGCATTGATCTAAATGTGGTTCCTTGATGACTTATGATAACCTAGTATCAGCCAAGGTTAAATTGATTTGAGAGTATTCACATGGGACACTGGAGCTTTGACCAGTTTCACAATTATATTTAAAGCATTGTAACTTCTCTTACCTGCTTATGCTCTGATCTTGTGAGTACTTATACTGAGGAGCCTCTGAGATACTGAGTATACAACTGGACTTAGTGGGAAATGAGAATACTCAGCATCATTCCTCAAAAGTAATTAATCCTTTTTTGCGATCAGGACTTTATTATGTAAACTATTTGGGGTAGAGAAAAAACTTTGCCCCATGCTTTAAAGCATCACCTATATTTGAAGTGCTTATAATTCATTCATTATAAAAATGAATCTAATCACTGTCTAATCATTATAAGACTCTAATGCATCAAACTAGAATTCAGAAGGCTTAAAGTGATCAGAGATAGAGGATTATTGAAGAATAGGTTGCTGCTACAGAATCATTTACCTTTCTTGTATTTGGAGAAGCTGTTTTGCAGTGTGTCCAGCTTCCCTTCTAAAGTGCGCACTTGTATTTTTAAGAGGTTGATTTCTGGAAAAAAAATGGCATTATCCTCAATAATACCTTAAAGAACAATATGGACAAAGAACAGCAGACTTAAATGGTTTGGTTTGCATGGGAACGTACTTTCTATAAACTAGGGCTGTGTGAAATTTGCCGGCTGTTTTGTTTTGATGCTATTTCAAATTGTTTCCAGCTCAAAACAGCGAAATTGAAATGAAATGGGCTTCAAAACAACCTCAAAATTAAATGAGGGCAGTTGAAACATTTCAAAAGTTTTGACGTACAAAAAACTAGAACTCTTCAAACCTTCAAAAGTTTTGAAACATTTCAAGTTTTGAAGCTGAAGCTGGGCTTGCCTGCAGGAAAACAGAAAGTAAGGAGAGGGAGGGGGATGACAGGGGAAGGACTGCTCTGACATTGACTTTGTAGTTGGCCAGTGACTGTGTTGTGTAGAGGCCCCAGCGCCAGTGAGGGTGTGCCTTAACACACACACACACACACACACACACACACACACACACAAAGTCACACGTCACAAGTCTTGCTTGTCAGCAGCCTGAGGTGCAGTTTCCCAGGAACCCCTTCACCTATCTCCTTGAAAGCTGGCAGGCTTTGTGGCCTCAGCAGGGGCTACCATGCCTGCAGTTTTCACCCTGCTGTGCCTCAATATACACACACAACACAAGTTTTGTTTTCAAGAATTTGAGGTGCAGTTTCCCAGGAATCCCTGAACCTATCTCTTTGAAACCTGGTAGACTTCATGTTCTCAGAAGGAGCTATCATATGTGCAAGTTTCATCCACATTGGGCAAGAAATGAGAAAGTTATAGGCAGTTTCATGCTTCCCCATTATAGCCTATGGGCAAAACGTTGAAACAACAAAACAGTTTCAACGAAATGTAATAGAACAGCAGTGTCAAAATGAAATGAATGAAACTCGGAATGAGACACTGTCCTGTTGAAATGGTGAAACAGAAGTTGAAATGAAATGCATATAGAATACAGTAATAAACTAGTTCCATTTCACTGACGAATAAAGAAATGTAACAACTTACCAGCAAATTTTCAAATTGTGCAAAACTCATTGCAATAGAAGTTGTACGACTCCTGAGATCCATAAGGTCTGGATAAATGTCAGATTTTCCTTGGGTCAGAAACAACACCGGATACTTATTTTGCTTATGCCGAACCCTGTAGAAAGAGTTTTAAAATACAGAACACTCTTTAACATATTCCTAAGGAAAAGGAATCTTTTCAACAGTGTTTCTAGCACACAAAGTAGAAACCAACACACGACACATAAACAGGTCAACTGATGCACACTCACCAGTGATAAGTTTCCACCCTTTAAGAACTTCAATTGTTTTGTGTCTTCCCAGACTACAGTAATTTACTGCATACAGATTAAATACTGCCAGATGCAGACGTAATCCCTAGTTCTAAGACAGTCCTTAATGTGACAAGTATTGGCTACTGCCAGAAAAATGTACTTTCCTTGTATTTGACTGTACTGAAAATACCCAGAACTATGTTGAAACTGTAGAATATGTATTACTTGGTCTTTATTTTCCTTATACAGTACCCTGAAGGAAACACCTTCCAAACTGATGCAAACCCAAGATAAGCATGCTGAGTAGTGCTCTGTTATCTTTTCTGCACCATCACTAAATACCATTCAATCCCTTTTAGCATCTCCACTGCCTTGTTCTGACTGTTCAACAAAGTAAATGAATAATTTATCCACTGTCAACTCTCACATCTAGCTTATAAGGTAGTAACTTGGGGGTCATCGTTGACCACAAGATGAACATGAGCCTGCAATGCGATGCGGCGGCTAGTAAAGCGACCAAAACGCTGGCTTTCATCCATAGATGCTTCTCAAGCAAATCCCGGGACGTCATTCTCCCCCTGTACTCGGCCTTAGTGAGGCCGCAGCTGGAGTACTGTGTCCAGTTTTGGGCTCCACAATTCAAAAAGGATGTGGAGAAGCTTGAGAGAGTCCAGAGAAGAGCCACGCGCATGATCAGAGGTCAGGGAAACAGACCCTATGATGACAGGCTGAGAGCCGTGGGGCTCTTTAGCCTGAAAAAGCGCAGGCTCAGGGGTGATCTGATGGCCACCTACAAGTTTATCAGGGGTGACCACCAGCATCTGGGGGAACGTTTGTTCACCAGAGCGCCCCAAGGGATGACGAGGTCGAATGGTTACAAACTACTTCAAGGCTGGACATAAGGAAGAACTTCTTTACTGTCCGAGCCCCCAAGGTCTGGAACAGCCTGCCACCGAAGGTGGTTCAAGCGCCTTCATTGAACACCTTCAAGATGAAACTGGATGCTTATCTTGCTGGGATCCTATGACCCCAGCTGATTTCCTGCCCTTTGGGCGGGGGGCTGGACTTGATGATCTTCCGAGGTCCCTTCCAGCCCTGATGTCTATGAAATCTATGAAATCTATGAAATGGTGGTGTTTCACACAGCCCTACTATAAACTAGTATCTGCTCTGTCTTGATTATGATCTAAAACTGGACTCATCAGCTTTGTTATGTGATAAAAATTGTGCGGGATATTCAGCTGTGCCTAATTCATACCCTGAATAAAAACTTACATCAGTTCTATTTACTCTACCTTTTGGGGAAAATTCTAGGATAAGTAACATTACACTACACACATGTGGTACTCATAGACTTAAGTTTTTACGACTGCATTTGTGTAGTGCCCATTTCTGTCCACTTTATATAGTGCTAATCATCTCTTCCTCCTTCCTCGCTCCAACAAATTCCAGAAAGACACAAAAGCATGTGACAGAACACTTTAACCCTGGGCAGTCCATCATGGACCTTAGAGTAGTGATTTCTTAAACAGCAAAACTTTAAAACCCAACTTGAACATTAAGTTGTGTAACAAAGCATCATTCACAACTGCATTGTGTTAAGTATGGTCTCAACAGACTCTGAATTTTCATTACTTGGGCTATCCCTCAATAGTACATAATTTTTTTTTTTAATTCCTTTTGATCTCTTCAATCCACCTTTGCTACTCCTGGCAGTGCCCCCACTGTCCCCGCCCCCCCCGGCCGTCCATCGCCTGACTCTTTGTATTGAACTTACTGAATTCCTTTTTATTTATTGTTATCTATACTTTCTGCAAGTCCATTCATAGCATTTGATGAAGTAGGCAGCCGCCTATGAAAATGTATGCCTTTCCGAATGAGTTAGTCTTTCAGGTGCCACCCTGCCCTGGCTTATGGCCATCATTGATCTGTTACTGACTGAGGTATGTCCCATTATTTATTCTGTAACAGGGTAAGGATAAACAACTTGCCTAATGGGAGGAGGTTAAGTTTGAAGTTTAGACTTGGGGGCCATTGCTAAAGAATACCTAGTGGGTTGGTTCACAAGTGGTTGAAGACTTGACATCCTGATTTGTTTTTATATATTGTATAATGAAGATGTATCCTACTATGTAGATATACAGGGATAAAGCTATGTGCACCAGAGACATATACATATATTCAGTTACACTGTATTAAACAATCTGTATACCGAGATGATAAAAGTATCTTGATTCAAACAATGCTCTTGGGCTATTTTCCTATTATCAGCTTAGCACATGCAAACTAAAACCTGAGTAGTTGTCCGAGTTAAAAGGGTAGCATAAGATAGGTGGTTCAAAATTGGGTGAAGTGGGCAAAATGTCTCTTCATTTGTTCCAAAATAAGATAACTCGTTGCATTTCTGGGATTAAAATACTCCATAGCAATGTATATTCATAAATGTACTGGATCAGTGTGTTGGATCTCTTGTTAAAATCTCTCTTTTAAAAATGCCATAGAACTTAACAAAGATGGCAATATAATTTTTTTAATACTTCCAATAAAATATGTTTTGCTACTATCTTTACAGTTTTAAGCAGTTACACATATGGCAGGTATTCTCAGGTAAACTGAATATACATTGAAAGGGAAAAATCTCTTATTGTACAATTCCTTGGGGGGTGGGGCAGAGGGTGACCTAAAACTATTTGTGGGTATCAACATAAAGTCACCTAAAATTCTTTAGTACACATTAAAAGGGAAAGCATATTAAATCCTTTCCACCCCAAAATATTGCTTCACTTACTGGAGAGTCCACTGTCTCCCTTTGTTCCTTTTTCACCTTGTGAGCCTTTATCCCCCTTTGGTCCAGAAAACCCAGTTTTACCTGTGGGACCCTGTGAACCTGTAGCTCCTTGTAACCCTATCAATTGATCATATGGAACAGACACAAAAAGAACAAGATAATTTGAAGATATTTTTCCTCTCTGAATATAAAACAATCAGATGCCAGCATGTTTTATAAACATTAATCACTGAAGACTTGCTATCCTTCTTGTACTAAATAGTAGATTATTACACATTTTGCAACTCAAAGAACTGAGGCTTGGAGAAGTCAACCAGACAGACTAGTGGCACTTAGCAAAAAAGTAGCAAGGCTAAGAAAGTGACTCAGTATTTGTGGTGCCCTGCTATACCAAGGCCCTGGACATATTTTAAATTAAAGGCACAATGGGATTTGCCATACAAATCGTAACAAATGCATCTCTTGGCATTCAATGTGTGTGTGGCAGGAGGCACAATTGTGGAGACTGAGCATCAGATCCCATTATACCATGTTGCTGGTGCAGGGGGGAGGGGGGGAGAAGAGGGGGCTGGACTGGACTCTGCCTGCACCAGCATGTAGCAAGCTTAGCTCTCTGTGCTCCCTTGGGTGGGAGAGTGTCTCAGCTGATTAAGGTTCCCAGCCAGGGGCTCCCCTGGATGGAAGCCTTGGTCAGCAGATCCAAGCTCCCTGGAGCAGGAGCATATCATATGATTCCTGAGCTAGGAGCCCAGATTAGCTGATCTGAGCCCCCAGCCACAGAAGTGCACCATGCATTCCCCTGGCTAGGAGCCCTGGTCAGCAGACCTGAGCTCCCCTGGCTGGAAGCCCTGAACAGATGACTGGAGCCCACAGGAGTCTTGCAGGGCTCCAGTGTGCTCTGGAGGCTTGGAGCACGATTCATACATTCAATTACTGGTGTTATAGAAACCACCCACAAAGTTATTACACATAGTTCATGTAATAACTTTGCAACTTATTGCTTGGTTTATCATGCCACTTACTGATTAAATGTGTGCCCAGGATACTTCTTAAGATGCGATTAACCAGTTAATCATGTCTTAAGTATAATGTATGTAAGGGGCCCAAATGAACAAGAAATGCTCTTACATTTCTACTCACCTGGACATAGGATTGAGAGTCAGGAACCTTGATTTTTAATCAAACCTTTGATGGAAGCTGTTGCTGATTTTAGACAAAGCACAACTGCCACACTCTAAATCCTAATTTCTCCATTTGTAAAATATGGATACTACTTAGCTCCCTACCCCAGAGGCTTGCCTTCAGAATTGATACAGCACTACATAAAGATGAAGTATGAGATGATATTTATATGGGTTTTACTATTTGCTTATTGATTTTGTGTTTGAGCAACAATTGTTCAGCAAAATACTAGCACGTATAATCCTGGATGTAAATCCATCATATGATAATGTCTGCTGAATTTCAACCATGAACATTAGATTATTTAGGAGTGTTAGCTACTCTTGTCAAGACAGACAATTCCGTTTATATTTAACTTACTTAAACCACTTTCTTATCATATAAATGTTGCTGATGGAAAAAATGAAACCAACTCTATTAAGATTAACATGCCAGAGCATTCTGTAATGTGGATTAAATGAAGATAGTGACTCTGGTTGAGTGGGGAACAAGGTTCTCTCATCTAATTCAAACTAAAGATCAGGGAAGTCAGTTTAACTTCCTATAGATAATTATTGTTGTACTTTTACCCACCAATCTGTGCTCTTAGACTTGACAGCATTACATTTCTACCATATGTATAAATTCTAACAGCTATATAGCCAAAGTTTCCAGTTAGGTAAATAAAATACCCAGTACATTGATACACACATAGACATATATGGATTGTTTTCTATCTGGTTAAAATTCAGAAAGATCAGAATTTTAAAAAAATGCTTCCAATAAAATATATATTGGAAATGTTATTTCCAAGAACTGACTCTTGATTTTTTGAACAAAAGCAATTAAGTTTCAGATAAGCATCTGGACTTTGGGTTTTTATTTAACTAACTGGAAACTTTGACCTTTTCAGTGTGCGCGCTTTACAACGTTTTACCTATGTGACTCAAATTCCCTGCAGATGTGAATGGGCACTCCACTGAAATCAACAGAGCTATGGCAATTTATTACAGCAATGAATTTGTTCCGTAATTTCAAACTATACTACATCTTTTTAACAGGTAGTATAAGTGTGGTCTAAGTTGTTTACCTCTGTCTCCTTTGTCTCCCTTTCCTCCCTTTTCACCGACTGGGCCTTTGTCCCCTTTTGGCCCAGGGGAACCAGAATTTCCTGGAAGACCTTGCTGACCTGCGGTTCCTTGCAGTCCTAGCATATGAGCAAGGGAATGAGACAGGCAAAGAAAAAGCAGTTACATTTTGTAGGTGTTTATTTTTACTTTACATGTCTTTTGATTACAGTAAATAGGAGCTTTTGCTTGATGATCTACTGACTGACTGAAAATGTGTGGGGAGACTAGAGGAGTGTGCATGATTTTAAATCTAGCAGCAACATATAATGGAAAGTAAATTTCAGCTGGAAAATTCCTGTTGCTTTTTGTTCTGAAGCTATTTGTTGTCAAACTCTACCAGGAAAGGAAGATGATTCAAATGAAACTGGCATATTTCCAGCACTATATGGACAATTACAGAAATGAAAAGAAAATTAAATGCTCGACTGCAGAGTATTCATCAATGACCTATTTCCTAATACAGCATCATTAGATCAGCAGCAGCTGCAAAGCAGGTTAAAGAAAACTACTTACCTATTTCTCCCTTTGCTCCTTTTTCACCTGATGAACCTTTATCCCCTTTTGGCCCAGCAGGACCTCCAATTCCCTGGTCACCCTTCGAACCTGGGACTCCTTGCAATCCTGACAAATGAAAGAAAAGAACCATTTATTTACATCCTTAATGCAGTTTATTTATTTTATACTCCTGTCAAAAGTAATACTGTTACTTGTCAAGGTCTGCTTTTGATTATAACTTTTGACTGGTTGCAACCTGTATGCATGTGCAAATTACTAGGAAAAACCTGAGAACTGTTAAATTGGAATGCCCTAAGATACAGTCAATAGCCAATGTGATATGAATTTAATATGATATTCATGTTTCTATTTAGCTAATTAAACAAAGTTAAAGTTCCATATTAAAAAAATCATGCTAAGTTAAATTCAGCAATGTGTAAAGCACTTAAAAAAAATAAAGTGCTAGAAACTAGAAATGAGAGGACAGAAATATTTGGAACTCAACAACAAAAACTCAAACTCATTAAATATTGTCTGTAAAGATGAATACAGATCTTAAATTAGGGGCAAGGAAAAGTTCACCATATATTAAAGATACCTGAGAAGCAAGGAGTGAACATGTAGAGTTATTTATGATTCTGCAGAAACAACATATGAAGTTTACTACAAGACTGAATGAAATTCTAGGTAAAACTTAAGGGATGACAACCTAGCAAGTCTGGACCAGGACTGAATAAAATCTTTTTCTGAACTATATTAAGTTAAACCACTGACTTTTAGAAAAGTCCAAACAGAAACAAGCTAAAATCTTCATTCAAACTTCAAGGCTTAGGCTGATCTCTACTATAAGAATATTTATGCTTTCCCCTGGCACAATATAGGATTGTTTCATTATAGTATGTTTGCTAGGGCTATCTTTTGACTTTTCTGAGTTTGGATTTCAGCTATTTTCCTTAAGAGATTATTCACACTATTTCCACAGGCAAAACTCATCAGTAGAATTTTTTTCTAGATATTCATCCTAAATCATCTTCCATCCAGTTCTCATTACAGTACTCTGAGTTATGAAACTTTCAATCAGCTCTTTATCTTATGTGGTTAAAAGGATCGCATTTAATATATATATTTATCTCCTTTCATATTTGGCATGGTCCATAGCTGGTTTCCTTCCCAACCAAAACAATCAAAACACTTACCTCTATCTCCAACATCTCCTTTTGAACCCTTTTCTCCTTGTGAACCCTTTGCTTCTTCTGGACCAGCAGGGCCCATCTTTCCTGGAGGACCCTGTGACCCTTTTAATCCTTGTAATCCTAGTATTTGAACAACACATTTTTTTAGAGAATAATAGAAGAATAAAAAAGATGAACAACAAAAACTTTGTAAATGTATAAGATGAGATGTAATAAACTGGGTCCAAATTACCTCATAACATACCCTTTCAACTCCAAAGGGGTAAAAATCAAGTGAGAATTTGACCCTTGCAATATAATGGAATCCAGAAATCATAAAAAGGTAGAAAAATAGTGATGGAAGGGACATCTGGAGGTTATCTACTCCATCACTGTCTATACTGGAGCGGGGGAGTACCTTTTTAGCGGATGTGCCACAAATCAGCCTGTATCCTCCCTGACTGCCACCCTGATCCTCTTCCTCTGACTAATCTCCTTCCCCTTTCTGTTTCCTACCCTGTGCTCCCTGCCTGATCTGATCTTTCTGCTTCCTGTCCTATCTGATGTTGTGTTGCCTGTCCCCTCACTGATGTGCTGCATGCTTTATACAGAAGCTGCATGTGCCACCTGTGGTACCAGTGTTGCAGTTTAGCTGCCCTGGGTCTAAATCATCTGAGATAAATGTTTGTGTAACCTACAATTAATAGTTTGATGCAGGTATTTCTACAGCTGCACTGGGTAAACTGTTCCAGTGTTTTTTGTTTGTTTGTTTTCCATGGTAGTAGTAGCACTTTTAGTGGCAGCTCTTCACTATGCACCCCTTCCTAGATAGGATAGTTTAATTAAAATTAAAAGAATTCTGGTAGAAAACAAAACACACTTTGAATAGGGTAGCAATTTGTGTTCTGATTCCAGCTGCAATGTTCTTTTCGATGGCTTCACCAATATAAGTAGCATACAGAGTGAGGAATAAGCAATGGAAATTGATATTATGTGGACCAGAAAGGAGACTATTCCCTTGTATGTTTAACTAAACTGTTTAGAATAATTAGGAAAATCCAGTAAAAAAAAAAAAAAAGGCACGATGAGTATTCACCCAGCTAAAGCACATTAATCCATGCATCTCATCATTTGACTGAAAATACAGGACAACTGAGATGCTACAAGTATGATAATAGAAAAGCAAAAACACTGGCAATACTACCATAAATATTTGCAAGAGTACTGACTGTGAAAAACAAAACCAAAAACAAACCCCACCCCCAAAGCTTTAACAGTTATTTTGAAAAGCTCCTTTCCTTTCTCTTACAATGGATTGGTAAATAATGCTCAGGTATAACTTGTGGATGTAACATGGTTGGAGAGAAATTCCCATTTGTAAGGTTCTAGTAATTCCAAGAAGGAACAAAACAAAACCATGTGAAATAAATGATCAGAAACAGATAGCAAACGTTCATAGATAAGCCTGTAAATAATTTACCAGAAAATACCTAATTGCAGAAGCAGTTTGAGAAACAATCACAACAAATGGCCAAACATTTAAAAAATAACTTTTTGCAAAAGCATTGCAAACAGAGGTAAGACATAATAGTTTGACTAAACTTCACAACAAATCCCGATAATGTTACCGGTTCTTTTATGTGTTGCAACTACAGTAAATTCCCTTTCCATAACTATCAAACAAATAGAGCACTGATGAACAAACAAGCCATTTTTTAATTTAAACCTATATTTCATGCAACTCTTGTGGCAGTTATAGGAAGCAGCATAATAAAGACAGAGTGAGCAGGGCACCAGCAATGATTCAGAAAGGGTACCACCAGCATCCTAGGGCGTGTGCAGATGAAATGGGGGCTCTAAATTGAAGCAGTGGGTTTTAAAAAATACTGCTTCAATTTAGGGCCCTTTAAATCCCTGTGTCGTGCACACATCCAAACTTCCCTGCCTCTCCAGCAGTGGGGAGGGGAGGGAGAGCTGTCGGCTGGCGAAGTAGTCCATTGGCTGTGGAGGGGGAAAGGGGCTGGTGCTTCCCTCTGCAGGTGCAGCAGCCCCTCCCGACAGCACCCACCCACAGGCACCTGGCTTGGGCACTCCTGGGGGGCACCACAACCATGGAGGGAAGCACTGGGCCCCTGCATAGCTTACGCAGGCTCCAGGGGGAAAAAAATAAAGGTCTGGGGCAAAGCCTGCCTTTGCAGGCTTCTGCCAGGCTGCCTGCAGGGCTTCCTGCAGAGCCCCTGAGCTGAACGGAGCCCGGTGCTTCACTCCACGTCTGTAGGGGCCCCAAACTAAAACTCCTCAGAGCAGTTTTGGTTTGCTGCACCCCAAGTCATTTAAGGTGCATTACACCACCAAATTTGCTACAGTGCTTGGAATTACTGCACAATATGCTGCCAATGCGTGCAAACACCAACACCATTAAAGTGGTGCAAAAGCATTTAACCCACTTTAAAGTGTCATGCACGCATGCCCCTCATTTTGTCTACACACAGCCCTACAGTTCTTAGCACCCCTCTTTCTTCCTCTTTCCCAGCCCTCTGGCACTTGACAGTAACCCTACTCGGGGCTCTGAAATTGATGTATATGCCTTTGGTTGTAGGATCAAATGTTTCCTCCACTATGTATTCTGGAACTCATACTTGGAATTAGATAGTTCTCTATCACTGCAAACAACACAACAATATCCTACAATATGCACTAAACAGAATTGATACAAGTTAAGGCACAGGGAAATATTTTTATACAGAGAAGGATTTGGAATATTTTAAGGTACATAGATTTGGAATATTTAATGGGCCCACTCTCCTGGGTTTTACCATGGAACTCACTTTAGTATTGTGTAAGAAATATTAACCAAGATTAGTGCTTACAAGCTAAGCATTCACATTTCCCTTTTAATGACCTTTTCACCTCTTTTTACATCTGAGTGTTTCAGGAGAAAAAAATGTAGGCAACTTTCATAATGTTCTGTTGATGATGAAATATGTAGCTTAGCTACATTTTTGTATTTTTATATTCGACTTTTTTAAAAAGAGGGACAAATGTGTTCTTTTAAAAAGAAATGAAAAAAAAAAAAAAAAAGAAGGCACTTCCTCTACCTTGCTCTACCAATAACAAGTTTCTCCCATGACCAATCTGGGTCATATTTCTAAGTGGTGACCTAGAGGTGAAAGATTTTACACTGCAACACCTATCTTTCAGGGCATGTGTAGAGAAAATGGGGGCCCTAAATTGAAGCGGTGGGTTTTAAAAAACACCACTTTAATTTTACGGCTGATTAAACCCCTGTATCATGCACACACCCTGCTGACTTACCTGCCTCTCCGGCACAGAGGGGAGGGTAAGCTGCTGGTGGGCAGTGTGGTCTCTGGGCTGCAAGGGAGCTGGTACTTCCCTCCGCAGCAGTGACAGCCCTCCCCTCCCCTTGGTGGCACCCACCCACAGGCACCTGGCTCAGGTGGTCCTGGGGGGCACTGTAGCTGTGGAGGGAAGCACCAGGTCCCCGCAAAGCTCAGGCAGGCAGGCAGGCTCCAGGGAACAAAAAAAAAAAAAAAAAAAAAAAAAAAAAAAAAAAAGATCAGGCTCATCACTTTTCTTAGGCGGAGCCTGTCTTCCCAGGCTGCTGCCAGGTTGCCTGCAGGGCTTTCTGCAGAGCCATGGAGATGCATGGAGCCCAAGGAGTTTTAGTTTGCTATTTAAGGTGGATTACACAGCTAAATTCCCTACAGCAGCTGGAATTAATGCGCAGATCGTTGTCAACATGTGCAAACACTGACACCACTAAAGCTGTGCAAAAGCATTTAGCCAACTTGTCAAGCTGACTTTGTCAAGCTCAGGAGGCTTGTCAGTGAGGCCCTAAGGGACCATGACCACAGGGAGAGGGGAGTTTAAGAAGAGTGGTTGCTCAAGAGAGCGATCCTCAATGCACAAACTAAGTCTATTCCATCTCGGAGGAAAGGCAGCAAGAGGGCACAGCAGCCCCCCTGGCTCTCCAGGGACCTAGCAGATCTCCTGAGGCTAAAAAGAAAGGCCTACAAAGGATGGAGGATAGGAATCACCTCCAAGGAGGATTATTCTGCACTGGTCCGGTCCTGTAGGGAGCAGACCAGGAAAGCCAAGGCTGCAACTGAACTCCAGCTAGCTTTGAGCATCGAGGACAATAAAAAGTCCTTTTTCAGATATGTGGGGAGCCGGAGGAAAAGCAGGGGCAACATTGGACCCCTGCTTAACCAGATGGGGCAACTGACAACTGACGCCCAGGAAAAAGCCAACCTATTAAATAGGTACTTTGCGTCAGTCTTTCATCAGTCCCATGGGACGCCCATGCCCGCTACAGGGCCGGGAAGTCCGGGTGAGGGTGATCCCCTACCCTCCATTAATCCTGACTTCGTGAAGGAACATCTTGAGAAGCTGGATACCTTCAAGTCAGCTGGCCCTGACAATCTTCACCCCAGGGTACTCAAGGAGCTGGCGAGCATCATAGCCCAGCCTCTAGCAAGGATCTTTGAAAACTCTTGGCACTCTGGTGTAGTGCCCGAAGACTGGAAGAAGGCCAATGTGGTGCCTATCTTCAAGAAAGGGAGGAAAGTGGATCCGGCTAACTATAGGCCCATCAGCCTGACTTCTATCCCAGGGAAGACCTTAGAAAAGTTTATTAAATAGACCATCCTTAATGGACTGGCCGACGTCAACATCTTAAGGGATAGCCAGCACGGGTTTGTTGCGGGTAGGTCTTGCTTGACCAATCTCATTTCCTTCTACGACCAGGTGACCTATCACCTGGACAAGGGAGAAGAGATTGATGTCATATATCTTGACTTCAAAAAAGCCTTCGATCTGGTGTCCCATGATCGCCTCTTGGAGAAACTGGCCAATTGTCGCCTTGGGTCCTCCACGATCCACTGGCTGGAAAATTGGCTCCGGGGTCGGACCCAGAGGGTAGTAATCGATGCAAGTCACTCATCGTGGTGTCCTGTGACCAGTGGGGTCCCCCAAGGCTCTGTCCTTGGACCCATACTGTTCAACATCTTCATTAATGATGTGGACACTGGAGTCAGAAGCAGACTGGCCAAGTTCGCCGATGACACCAAACTTGGGGGCAAAGCATCCACACCAGAAGACAGGCAGGTTATCCAGGCTGA